AATAAAGACAAAACTATGTATGTAATACATTGATAAATGATTTATGTTTATATAAATTCATGTATTCATGTAAGTACTTGAGTTTTGAGTGTGTGAATTCCCATGGCCAGCGATGACTTGGTTTCTTAGTTGTAGGACCAGAAACTCCCTCCTCCTCCTCCTCCTCCTGTTTCTTCTTTCCTTCTTCTCTGTCATTATCATCATCAGCTCTCTCTTCTCTAAAGTCAACATGTTAGTTTCCGAGAGATCTCCTGCAAATAAATACATACATATACAGTGCCAAAATAACAATTCTATTTTTTATAGTTGTGTATCATTTGCATGTAGCATATTTAAGTTATTAATAATTTATGTCACTTTAATTCCCAATTAAAATTTGATACTGTATAAGTAGTTTTTTAGGGTTGCAAATTTTGCGAATTCCTTCCTGATTCATGAAAGTAAAATCCACAAAAATCAATTTAATACGGTACCTGCATGGCACACGTGGTAGAAATTGCGAAATTAATATCAGCAAATTAGAATTTAAGTAGATTGCGCAAAATATACTAAAACTTCAAGACTGAGTAATAAACATCTAGATCTACTCAATTTATTACATTCTGTATTATTATAATAAATGACTGTTACCATTCATACTTCTTTCTTATATCATAGTTGATCTCGTATCGTAGTATGGAGTTATCTGCTGAGACCTTGAAACCATTGGACGTTATTATGGTCATGTGAGCATTTGACTAACAAAGTAACAAGTCACAACCCACTTTAAGGTGGGGCTAGATATGCAGATCTTGCTCTGGTTCGAGGTCAGTCATTTTCACCTATTTTCCTGCTTTCTGACTAAGAAAACTTCTTAAAAGTAACATACTTCAGTCAGTGGTACTTTGATGATTTATTTTATTGATAAAAAATGGCAGAAAATACAAGTCCAGCTATCACTATGAGTCTATGACTTCATTGACTTGTGAGGTTTGTTCCCCTCATGCTTCCCTATCTTCTTAACTCTGCCAATTCAAAAACTATACTTAGTGAGCTTATATTTTAACCCTTTATTCATAGAGGAAGACAGTTCACATAATATTAATAATTATTATGATGCCACAGGATTTCATTGGAGCTATCAATCCTGGTACAATGCAGCTACAGGAATGCGGACTGGATCTTAATAGAACCGTAACAATTGAAGTAAGTGTTTGGAGTTAATAGGAAATGTAAGCATTGCATGTCTTGTACTGTAGATACATATTGATGTCCTTATGCTACATAGCAAGTTTGAGCTGATTGTAACAATTATTTTTTGAGTTATGAGCATTTTAAAAATGGGCTAATTTTTGAAAAAATAACTTTTCTTTCAAAAAATGGTTCTGGAGTCACTCTAAATTTTTATTACATTTTTTGATACATATTGATGTCCTTATGCTTTTTAAAAATTTTGAGCCAATTCGGTTTTATTTTTTTTAAATTACAGTCATTTTAAAGAAATGCCAAATTCTGAAAAGTACCCTGTATTATAGCCCATAGTTTTTTCCAAAAAATGGCCCCAAAATCACCCCAAATTTTTATTACATTTTCTGATACATGTTGATGTCCTTATGCTATGTAGAAAGTTTGAGTTGATTTTTGGCAAAAATCTTTCAAGTTATGACCATTTTTAAAAATGAGCCAAATTTGGAAAAATATCCAAGGCTATAGCCTTGGGTACTTTTCTTAAATTGGCTCCAAAATCACTCAGAATTTTTTTTATACATCGTAATTCCTCTAAATATTCGGTGCTCTAAATTTGAAAATAAATATTTTGAATTTTTTACCATAATTAATTTTAAAATTCATTTTAAATATAATTGTTCCACATGGTTCTAATTTCATCACTTACCTCTAAATTCAATACGAGTGAAGGATACTCTGACTAGGTTAGCATACAGCTGGTGTTGTCTAGTAATGGATCCCTCTAAATTCGACAAAATAATTAATTTAAAAGCTTTGTGACTACTCTACCTCTAGAAAATTTGTTTTTAAAAATTACAAATACAAAACTTGATGTGACAAATTTTTAGAAGAATTACAGTATTCTGATGTACATTAATGTCCTCATTCTGTGTAGACAGTTTGAGCTGATTCTGACAAATATTTTTCAATATAGTTATCAGCATTTTAAAAAATGAGCTACTTTTCAGGATAAAGCAAAAACTATTGAGTATTATTGCCTAGTAGTATTGCCAGGTTAGTATTTACTATTTCCTGGTCTTTGGTATTATTGCTCCTGGTATTACCATATAGGGGTTACATTTGTATTTCAATGGAAATAAATTTTGCCAGTTTCACATTTTCATTAAATTTGCAGGTGTGGAACATATGTACATTAACTAGGAATTAATGATCATATTATACCATATACATGTACATGTACACAATGATTAGAATAAAACTACATGCAATTGTTCAGTATTGTTCATATTTTATCAAATATTTTATCATTTTCTTGATTTTACATATTATGTAGTATCTACGTTATGATCTCGTTGATGAAAGAGACTTGGCATGCTCACATGATGCTACGTCATGCTTCGTTTAGTGAACAAAAGAAGAAGCAAATGGTCAAAAGAGTTAAGAAGAAACTCGGACCTAAACCTAATCTGGTAAAAAAGTTGTACTGTTTAATCAATAGCATTTCAATTAACTAGTATATAGTATTTTATTTAATAAATTTCTTATGATTAAAACTAGCAAATTTCTTCTTCGTTTCTTTTGGGGCATTAATTTTGAAGATATTAGAATCTTTGATCATTTGATGGGTTGTCTCTCTGATATAGGCACAGCCCTGGGTATGCACTATGCAGCTGAAACCCTATAACACCTGGTAACTAGCTCCTCCTCTCTATGTTGCTCTTTTTTATTAATTTTTTTAAAGCTGAGCTCAATGAAGCTTGCAAGGCTGTGACTGGCTCATCTGTCAGCAGTCATCTTGTTGATATCCTTTCACAATTTTTGATATAAATAGTCAGTTCAGTTTTT